ATGTGAAAAGCTTGGATTCAAAGATGAATCAGCAATGATTCGTGACAGAGGCTGGCAACAACAAAGAAATTTTTTCATTTTTTCTGGTTCTTATGATATTCTACGAACGTGTATTTTTAGAATTTTTGCTATATTCTAATACTTGAGTCGATTGTAGCAAAGTTGTGCAGCTACTGAAATTCGATGTTCCTACCTAACAAGACCACCGTTTGACAGTTCTGACTCCATATCAACTGCCACAATTCAGAGCATTCTTTCGGCCAATTTGCAACAATGAACTCGTCCGGCCGGTGGTAACCCTAAATATGCTGGTGGTGTAGTAGGAAAGTTTTTTATCAAATTAGGAAGAGAAAGCTGATAAACGAAAACAACCTACCGGTAAGGTGATATATTCTGTTGGAGGGCTACAAACTGGATTATGGCGGCACTCGCAGAGATCCTAAATTTAATATTTTACTAGATTAGTGCGATATAATCAAAATATACCTACCTCATATTGCACTTGCATTCGCGTCTTGCCATTCACATTTTCTTCTCCGAGGTAGTTGAGGTATCTAGAAATGCTGAACATTTAAGTTATAAACTAGTTCTTCATGGCAATGGATGGGTAAGGATACCTTTGAAAGAGATCGGCATGAACCCGTGTGATGCCATGGCGAATGAGTTGTCGAACAGCTTCATGGCAAAGCATGTACTGTTCCTGGAAATTTTTGAATGTAAAAAAGTAAGAAAAAGAATGGAGATAAGAAAAAATGGGATCTCCCATTAGATCAATTGCTTGCGTATATAGTTAGACTTAGTAGCACGAAATTACTGGACAAAAGATTTGCTAGAAGCTTTAGTAAGGATTTCTAGCAAATTTTTGAACCCTAACAAAGTAAGCGAGAAGAAAAATGCCAGCATAATTTCTCTGCCGTTCAAGAACATCATAAGTCACATTAGGTAAAGAACATCTTACTGTTATATCGCCTACAAACGATATCGAAAAGATAGACCTTTTTGCCAAATACCGTGTTTGTAAATCATGATTTCAAATCCCACCCATATCTATCATTTTGAAAATTTTGATAGCTGAGAAAAATATAAATAAAAGCAAAATCTGTGCCCTATTTTATATTCCCTAAGTTGAACCACAAAATGTGCCGAAATTTTTTTCCGAGCTAACAAGAAATCAATGTGTTAAAAACTTGACACCAAATCTGGCAGTGAGTTTTTTTTGAGCTGACAAGAATTCAAGTATTTGAATCTAGCGATTTTGAAAAACCAAGACACATTTCATGATTGGACATCTTACTACTATTTGTCAACATCACTCAGCGGTGAGTGGTACTTTCGAAGTTTTTTACAAGTCGCTTATAATTCATTTAACAAATTCTAATAATCTTTT